CCGCAACTCCGAAGATCTCTGAGCCTGGTGAACACCGAGAGGTGCAGAAGTAGGCTTCACCAGAAAGTCCAGAGTCTAGGCCTGCAAGGTTTAGGGTTTAGGGTTTGGGGTTTAGGGTTTAGGGTTTAGGGTTTAGGGTTTAGGGTTATGGGCTCTGACCCCGAAACCCTAAACCCTTTTTGCACCCAGGCCACCCTCAACCTCGACCTAAACCCCGAATCCCTAAACCCTTAACCCCTAAACCCGTAAACCCTAAACCACCATTAAAAGTCCTTAGATGTCCTTAGGATCCCCGACTCGCTGCTATCCATGTACTGGAAAGCCAAGTCACACTGCTAATCTGAGAAAGAGCTCAGAGCGCGTGGCATGCCAGAAAGCCATGTCTGTGATTATTTGAGAAAAGGGGGGGGGGGGGGGGGGGGGCGCGACATGCAAAATCATGTCACTGCTGGGAAGGAAACAAAAAAGGCGTGACATGGAGAAAAAGCTCAGTCATGCCACTGTGCATAAAGTGACGAAACAAGCGGCGAGACAGATAGAACCGGCCATGTCACTGTTTACCACCAGTCTGCGAAACAAAATCTGCACTGGTGGGTGAAGCTGGTCCTTGAGGGGGGTTTAGGGTCTAGGGTTTAGGGGTTTAGGGGTTTAGGGTTTAGGGTTTAGGGTTTAGGGTTTAGGGTTTAGGGTTTAGGGTTTAGGGTTTAGGGTTTAGGGTTTAGGGTTTAGGGTCCAATGAATACCCTAAAAGGGCTTCTGGTCCATATACCTTAATCGGGACTATGGGGTATATGGTCTCAATGTTAGGATGCAGATGGCCGCAAGGAGCGAGAACATAACTCCCAATTGAAAGATCTGACCAACTGCTCGCTATTAAGATGCGCGGCTCACGACTCACTATCTCGGACTCCCAAAATCCTAAACCCTAAACCTAAACCCTAAAGGTTCTTCTGGAAGTCGGACCCATGTATTGAAACATACAGAGCCTTCCCTCAGACCCCCCTCCACGAAAGTTACGTTCAAAAAGCATGCTGTCTGGCACTCTCGAAAACTTATTCGGCTGTGACGTATCAACTGTGGGATGCTCCCCCTTATACTAACAGTCCTTAATGGATTTAAGTACTCCTACTAGAATCCCTATTAAGGACTGTTCGTATAAGGGAGAACATCTCAATATCAACTGGTCAATCCCTATATCAACTTTTACAAGGCGGATGTCTTGGACAGTTTGAGCGGACCTCATGTCACGCCCATGTGTCTTTCCACAGGCTTTTATGTTACGTGCACTTTCGCCAGTGGATTACCGCTCGGACCCAAAAATCAACAATTGAAACAAAGTCATCCAAAATACTTTTTGCGCTTAAGCTCTCAACCACCCCTAGACCTTTCAAGGCTGGCTGCCTGTGTGCCTCGCAGCCATTGGTGGGTCCAAGCAGACTCCGTGCAAGACGGTGCTGCTCCAACCAGGTTCGGGGTTTAGGGGTTTAGGGGTTTAGGGGTTTAGGGGTTTAGGGGTTTAGGGGTTTAGGGGTTTAGGGGTCTAGGGGTTTAGGGGTTTAGGGGTTTAGGGGTTTAGGGGTTTAGCGGTTTGGAGGTTTAGGGGTTTAGGGGTTTAGGGGTTTAGGGGTTTAGGGGTTTAGGGGTTTAGGGGTTAGGGCTCCGGGTTAGAACAGCAACGTTTGAGGGGTGAGACCATCGAATCTTCAAATCTTCAAATCAAAACAACGCTCTGATCCAGCGCTGACTGTGAAACATGTGACCTGCTCTCGAACACATTTTATGAAACACCAGAAGACAAAAAACATAGCCCTTTCCTTCACAAACCGAAAGCCGAGAATCCTATCACATCAGCTGCAGGGTTTAACTGAAGGCGCTTCAAAATCAAATGGTGGTCTGAATTCTCGTGAACTTGCTGTTGTCGAAGACATCTTGAACCTTACTTCTCCAATAACCAAAGGCGGAAAAAGCTTAAACTTTGATATTCCTACTAAATAAGGAAACCCAAGAAGTCTAAACCCTAAACCCTAAAACTTAAACCCTAAACCCTGAACCCTAAAGGTGAAGTAAGGAACAGAGGTCCGCCTCCCTCGGATCGCGTTTGTCGCCTGCAAAACCTCCTGGAACAGGACCTCCAGCTTAGTCTCAATCCGCCAGATGTCCACAGCTTTGGCACCTCCTTTCAGGCGCGCCGCCCCATCGATGAATTCAGTAAGCCTGGGTTTGGAGTTTAGGGTTTGGGGTTTCGGGCTTAGGGTTTTGGGGTTTAGGGTTTAGGGTTTTGGGTTTAGGGGTTGTGTTTTCAAACCCGGGAAAACGACTTACAAAGTGGTGCAAACGAAGTGGGATCCATGACGCTGTTTGCCCAAAACCGTGCAGGGCGACAGAAAGCCGTGCTGTTCCCATGAGAGCCCGACGTCAGCTAGGAGCTGAACACCGTTGACCCCAACGTCCCCATATAGGAAGTCCTTTAAGGCCCAAGTATTCCATATTTAGGTACATGGACCCTTAGAGTCATATTTGCCACCCTAAACCCTAAACCCTAAACCCTAAACCCTAAACCCTAAACCCTAAACCCTAAACCCTAAACCCTAAACCCCAAACCCTAAACCCTCGCTCTCTCTCACAGGCGCCTAGACCCTAAACCCTAAAACCTAAACCGCACTACAGAGCTTATCAGCGCTACCTAGAACTACGGAGCTCTGTATCTGACCAGCGAGACGGTAGCCCAGTCTCTTGCATCGCATGGCTTAGAGGCACGCTCACAGTGCATTTTCTCTGACTTGCACAAGATTCGGGTTTAGGGTTTAGGGTTTAGCAAGTTAGTACTCTAGCCCACCCTAAACCCTATAGAATTGCATTCTGGGGCATCGTCATAGAAGTCGATTAACTGTACCTGCTACATGATAAAACCATCCGACATCACAACCCAGAAGCGTGATCTGCCCGTCGCCGTTATCCAGGAACCTTCGGCGCTGAGCATTTTGACGCTTCAGGGTTTAGGGTTTAGGGCTTAGGGTTTAGGGTTTAGGTGCAGGGGTTTAGGGGTGTAGGGGTGTAGGGTTTAGGGTATGAGGCTACGACATGCAGCATGGATGCCTAAGTCCGATCGGCCTGAACAACCTAGATGAACTGTTCCCTCCCCCTTGCCCTTTTCAAGTGTCCCCTGACGATAACATGGTGCAGCATTTGGGATGCTACCCCTTATACTAACAGTCCTTAGACGGGGACGGGGGGACTACAATCCCTATTCAGGACTGTTAGCATAAGGACAACATCCCAATGTAGCATACATTTCAGTTACGGTTAAGGTTCGACAAACTGATAAACCGCCATTCCTGCTCACACCTTTAACTCAAGTCCGGGAAGACCTGGCTTAGGGTTTTTTGGGTTAGGGTTTTTCCCACCCGTTTTGCAAGTGTTTACGGGGAAAGGTGAGAGATAGTAGGATGCCCAAGTTGAGACACTTCGATGTTGCAAGTCTTTTGGGTTTGGGTTTAGGGTTCTTGGTCAATGACTCGGAACCCAAACTCGTCAAGCGCTCGCAAACGTACAGCACGGACCACGAACTGGGGTATCCGCACCAAGAAATGCAACACTATTAGGCACCCTAAACCCTAAACCCCCTCAACCCCCTCAACCCCCCCAAACCCCCTAAACCCCCCAAACCCCCTAAACACCCTAAACCCCCCAAACCCCTAAACCCCCCTAAACCCCAAAGCCACATGTCAGGCGTGCCAGGAAGCTCAAAAAGAGAGAGGAGGTCATGGTATTCAAGGTCCAACTGGCTCATGAAGAACTGAAGCTTCGGCGACTGGACCAACTTTGAGAACTCTTCCTAGGATGATTCTTAAGACCCTAAACCCTACAGCAAACCCTAAGCCCTAAACCCTAAACCCTAAACCCTAAACCCCAACCCTCCAGGAGGGTTCCTGACTAAGATCCTCTGAAACCCAATACGGGGACAAATAAAACATCCCGGGATGGCTCTTAAAGCCCTCTGAAGAATGTTCCTCAATATGATCCTTAAGCCCAATAAGGCTCAATAAGGGAAATAGGAAGTATGAATATTATCCTCTTCAACCCAATAAGGGAAGACAAGAATCATGAGTATTATCCCCTTAAACCCAATAACGGAAGATTCAAAACATCCCGAGGGCCTACCTAGCTTCGTAGTTGATGGAGCCGTCTCCGGACTCGTCAACAGTCTGGAAGAGGGTCTTCACGCGCTTGGTATAGACAGCGAGATCTCGCTCTTTCTGCTTGAAGGCGATCTCCTCATCTGTGCTTGCGACCTTCATCGCCTGCTGCACAAACACTGCGTTCACGACGTTCAGAACCGAGAAGCCAAAGACGCATCGATAAAGCAAGAAGAAGAGGGAGAACCACTCACTGATGTCTTCAACAAGAACGCGACAAGGTGGTCCCCAGTTCGCGAAGAGCCTTGCTTCTCCAAAAACCCAAGGGAAAGGAAAGGTTAAACTTTCCTATTCCTACTAAATAAGGAACCAAAAACAGAGTTTAAAGTTCAACTATTGGCTAAGTAAGGAGCACTTCGAACATCGTCAAAATGGTTCGAGTGAATGTACCATAGTAAGCGAAGACCTCTTGTCTGAGCTCGAGCACATAGCCAGGATCTGCTATGAAGTCATGGCACAGGGTGCTCAGAACCATTCCCGCCACACATTGCAGAAAGAAGAGCAGGCACATGCTCCAGAAGAGTGTGTTCATGCTTCCCGCCACACACTTGATGAGCAACTGCAATGATGCAAGGACGCTTGTCATAGTTATCATCCGAATGGGGCGAGCCAGTTTGCCAATCCTGCACCCAGTGTTGGGGTACGAGTTTAGACATTCTCTTGTTCCTTGTGGGTTTAAGTATTCATAAACATGCAAAATGATCTTCAACAATGACCCAGAATCCGGATCAGTCGCAAAAGGCTCAGGTTAATCGGCAAGGCATCGGTGTACAACAATGCGACCTGAACTATGGCAGCTGCACTCACCAGAACGTCCACGTAGTTACTCCACACTTTCCAGAACTCAACTCTCAAAAAGGCGATCCGCACGATGACCTCGACGGCGAAAAATGTCGCGAAAACTGCGTCTCCAAACATGAAGACGGGGTCCAGGGGAGTGGATACTGGCTTGGCCACATCTGCACTACCATTCGGGGTCAGGGCAGCCCCCAGGACTCCCCCATGCACCTGTTGGCTGGGTTTAGGGTTTAGGGTTTAGGGTTTAGGGTTTAGGGTTTAGGGTTTAGGGTTTAGGGTTTAGGGTTTAGGGTTTAGGGTTTAGGGTTTGGGGTTTGGGGTTTGGGGTTTGGGGTTTGGGGTTTAGGGTTTAGGGTTTGGGGTTTGGGGTTTGGGGTTTGGGGTTTAGGGTTTGGGGTTTGGGGTTTGGGGTTTAGGGTGTTTCTCTTGGTACACTTCTTTTTGGGGGTTTAGGGTGTAGGACTCACCCATGCACCTGTAGCTGCGCAGCCATCCAAAGGACGTTGAAGAAAAGGGCTACGGCGATGAGTAGTTCGAACGTCGTCGACTGAAGTTGCGATGCAAATCGCTGGTGCCAAGGCCTCAAATCTGGTTCTCCAGTGTCAGATTCGTAGCTCTCACCTTGATCCTTTGTCTTGGTAGCGCAGGGGTTTAGGGTTTGGGTAGCCCGGGAACCATATCACAATAAGGGCACCCTTCTTTGGGGTTGGTTATTTTTATAAGGGGAACCCATAAACCCCAAAAAAGGGCACAAAGGGCACCAGTGGGCTGCCACGGCTCTGACCGGCTGAAGGAGTTCCCACGGAAAGTATCATAAGGTGAATCTCGCTCCTGCTAGACTCCCCTTGGAACCTTAACAAAAATAATATTCTTAATATCCTCTTGGGTTTTATGTAAACAAAGAGAAAAAACTCCAAAGGGGGATACAGTCCTGACCGGGAGTACTCTCTAGCGCACCCAAGAGATCTGCCGCTTGCATCTCCTTCGCCGACTTTCTTCCCCTGGGTTGCTTACTCAAGCGGCTCCTTGGTAGCCGTAGTAACCGCATTACAATAAGGGAACCCTAAACCCTAAACCCTAAACCCTAAACCCTAAACCCTAAACCCTAAACCCTAAACCCTAAACCCTAAACCCTAAACCGATTTTCGGGCTGGTTACTTAAATAAGGGAGCCCAGAACCAAACAAAAAGGGCAACTCTGGGCTGGCAAGGCTCAGATGGCTCAGATGTGAACGCACATGTCCCACAGCCGCACCCTCGGGATCCAACTCCTGCTTCAGCTTCTCCATTTCCTTAGTTGTCGGTTTAGGGTTTAGGGTTTAGGGTTTAGGGTTTAGGGTTTAGGGTTTAGGGTTTAGGGTTTAGGGTTTAGGGTTTAGGGTTGAGGGTTGAGGGTTGAGGGTTTAGGGTTTAGGGTTTACCTGGGTGTCCAGTATCCTTGGGAATTCAAGGTTAACCTTTGGGATTATAAGGGAGTCTACTACCTCAAAAAGGCTAAAGGTTACCTACTCTACTACTAAGTTTCGATTTGACATCTCTGTATCCTGCGCTCCTTTGCCAGCAGCTCCTTCAGGTGCTGCTGAACAATTTGGTCAACCAGGGCTTGGAAAGCCTTTGACACGTCAAGAGACACGGCCTGCGTGTCTTCCTTGGGAGCAGAAACTTCATGATCCGGCTGGAAATTCACCACGGGCACCAGGGTGGCCTCGCCCACTTCGCCCACTTCCAGCTCGAAGGGCTGGTTGCACTTCAAGTCACGCAGCCCATCGAAAGCAATCTGCGAAGACATCGCGGAACTCGGAACCCAGCGCCCGCTATGCGGGTGGCCGTGGGAAGCAGACCGCGAATCTCACTAAAATGCCTTGTCTAGCTGTGTGAACGAGACCTCGAACCTCACCGGAAATGCCTTGTCTTCGCTGGAAGGCCTTGTGAACTAAATCTCAAAATCTCAGTGGTATGCCTTGTCTGTCAGTCTCACTTGAAAAGGTCGCGGCTCGGAATGCGCACGCATCTCAGAACAACTTGTCATTGTTGAAAACTGCCTCTGCAAACAGCCCTAAACCCTAAACCCTAAGCCCTAAACCCCCTAATGCCTAAACCCTAAACGATGCAGAAGCTGACAAAGAACATGTCATAGGCCGAGGTTGCTTGAAGCTGTGTCTTGGGGCTGATTGAACCAACTAAGTAGGACTTGCCAAAACCTCTGTGCATGTCAATGTAAATGAACCAAATATGTAAATGAATCAAATGTATATATATATATATAGTTTTTCTATATATACATTTCTGTATTGATTCTATATTTGTACGAACAGCACATACACATACATATATATATACACATATGTACATCATGCAGTACAGAATGTGCTGCACAAGAGAACAGAGATGCTCTCCTTGTGTACACTACTACTTGGTGGCCAAGTCATCATCTATTATGATAAGGGGGGGGGGGGGGTGGTTACTTCTTCTGAATACACAAGAGATCCTAGAATCAGAAGAAAGGGCAAAAAAGGGTACCACCCTAAACCCTAAACCCTAAACCCTAAACCCCAAACCCTGAACTACCACCAGGCTACCAAGACGAACGAAGTCTGCTGCAATGCATCGCTGCCACCCTTAAGCTCTACGCAGCCCGCTTTCCCCGTTCTTCGCCGGTGCGTTTTGTCGGCCAAAACGTGCTGTCATCTTGAACCTTGAACCCTAAACCCTAAACCCTAAACCCTGAACCCTGAACCCTAAACCCTGAACCCTAAACCCTAAACCCTAAACCCTAAACCCTAAACCCTAAACCCTAAACCCTAAACCCTAAGGGGCGTGCAGAGGTCCACAGATCTTCATAGCTATTCAGGGCCTGACTGGGGCAACTTATGGACGCCGCCTGCACATCGAGCTTGGGGTATGAAGGTACCGCCGAACCCTAAACCCTAAACCCTAATTTGGCAAACATGTCGCAAGGCAAGGCTTTGAAACAAAGCGTCAAGGTTCACGATTGTCGGGACCGGACGCCCTTTTGGGGCATCTTCAGGGCCAGATTCTTGGGTGACTGCATCTGGCCCATTTCAAGACTGCTCCGGGGCGATACTTTACTATACGATCTTTGAGGCAAAGACTCTGACTCTTGCGGGACTGGGCTTGACTGATTGGGACAAGCCGATGTCACACGGAGCTGCCGTGGCCTCGTGGGCTCCAGGCTTGCAACGGAGGGTTCGCAAGGGCCTCGCGTAGAAAAGCTTCGCATTCCTCATGGGGCTTAAGCTTCAGGTTAGTATAGGGATCTTTGGGTTCAAGGGACATCTAGTTCAGAAAGGGGCGTGGAGTTTTGAGAGCTCCCCCCCCCCCTGGTTTGAGCTTCCTCGTTCATGGACAACCTCACATCCCACAAGTGCAACGTACGATGCTCGAATATAGCGTGCGAGGCGAAGGATACTGCAGCATCGTATTGTGCAATCGTCCTCTACTAGTCACTACTAGTCCGGCACAGACAGGGCCAATGCTTGCAGACTATGGTACGGTATAGGAGAACTACACCACAACGTGACGTCTGCGGCAGTGCATCACGACCCTATACCCTATACCCTAAACCCTAAACCCTAAACCCTAAACCCTAAACCCCAAACCCCAAACCCTAAACCCTAAACCCAAACCTTAACCTGTGTTCAGCTATCCCGTGCTCCGCTTTTTTCTTCACAGTCACGCTCTCATCTTGCGGAGCATGCAGAGGTTCAAAGGGTTTCATGGGTGAGTGGGCCCGTCAGTCAGCGAGTTCTTCGTATGCCTATTGTGGTCTTTACATTTTGCAGGTGATGAGGGGGCATTGAAAAAACACCTTTTCGGGGACCTTGTGGAGGTCGCCTGCATATCGGGCTCGGGGTATGAAGGTGAACCACCTGCTGTTTCTGTCCAGCAGGACACTTTCTTCACTTGATACAAAAGTCTGCAGCTCCTCCTCAATCTCATCTCCTAAATATCCCTAAACCCCTCAAGAGAATGTGAAAGCTTCATCTCCAGAAACAGACGCTCTCAGGGGGGTTCCGGGCACGAGTACCCCACGTTTGAACCAAAAAGGGTCATCCCAGGAGTCTCTCGAAAGTCGCCGCACCCCTCGGAATCTCAAGTCAATGCCCTTTCAGAGTCTTGGTTTAGGGTTTAGGGAAGTTTTGGGGTTTAGGGTTTAGGGTTTGAAGATCCCGACTTCCGCCTACATTGAAATTAAAGAGCACAGACTCCATATTAGCCGTTGAAACTCTAGAGGAGCCGCAGCTCTTCTGCAGTGACCTCGACACGCTCACCGCGGCGCAAGGCAGGCAGCTTCTGCTCGAGATCCTGCAGAGGGGCAGCCGAGGGTTTAGGGTTTAGGGTTTAGGGTCACGGATGTATCGTTCATCTAGCGAAGTGGAGGGTATGGAGATGAGGCAGGCAAGCGGAATGCAAACTTCCCAAGGCTTGTGACAAGGAACTGCTCAAAAGTGTCGGGATTCGAAAGAGGGTCAACTTCAACGGATGACAAGTGTGTATACTGGAGTTGTGAGATCGGGGCCTCCCGTAACACGCTTTACCATACACCAAAGCACCAGAGTCCACCAGAGTATACCAAAGCATGCTGCAGTCTACTAGCAAATTCTGTAGGACTGGGTGCTGCCATACCCTACTCCCTCAGCGTGGCAGAGAACCGGCATAGACGCAGAACATGGACTGCACCGTGCTTGGAGACAAAACACAGTATGCACACTACACGCAAAACGATGTGAAATGTATACGTCCCCTCAATCAAAAACCCCTCGGCCCTCCGCCAGCTGTGTAGCCCCTGGCCTGTTGCAGGCGTAGCGCCAGTGCCTGGGCAGGCTTAGATTTTTCTAGCCTCCACAGCTGCAGAAAATTCGTATCCAAAAATGGGTTGAGGGTTTACAGGTTTCGGGCTTATAGGGCTTGGGATTTAGCTGTAGCAGGTTGGAGTTAAGGCCTCGTGGAGGATCGTTCGCCACATTTCGCCACCACGACAGCTATCCACCCCCGGACACCCAGACCAAATAATTCAAGAAGGTCCTCCCCTGGGATGGAACTCCTACAGTCTAGTCTTCAACAGTGTTTTTCTACACCACCAGACCCCAAACTAATTACACCACTTTGCTGTAGTAACCCTACTTTTCATTGGGATGTTCCCCCTTACACTAACAGTCCTTTAATAGTACCACCCGATTATAATCTGTTAGTATAAGGCGGAATGTCCCAAACCAAGCGTCTACGAGACTCTACTGTGCGTGGCCTCGGTGGAGTCTGGGCGCAGCAGCTGGAAGGCCGCGAGCAGCACTGGGGCCTTGGGGAAAAGAGTAGCCGCAGGGCGCGCAGAGCCAGGGGGGGCTGAGGAGTCGCAGCATAGAGACAGAGAGAGACAGAGAGAGAGAGAGAGACAGAGAGAGAGAGAGAGACAGAGACAGAGACAGAGACAGAGACAGAGTCGGAGACGGAGACAGAGACAGAGACAGCGACAGAGAGCACAACAACAAAACCAAAGATAGTTCGCAGAGCATGCTGGGCTACTGGACCCAAGCATATGGTTCGCACAGCGTGTACTTGGCGACCAGGAAGTGGACCCAAAACACGGCAACAAAAAGAAGTCCCAGAAATGGCAAGACCGCCCCCCCAACTTCCCGCGAGCCCCGGAAACCCCAAACCCCAACCCTTTTTTGCATCCAGGCAAGCCCTGAAACCCTTCAATCCCCAAGCCCAAGTCGCAGCCAGGGCCAGGCGCGGGAGGAGCCGGTCCCGGCGTGCGAAGCCCACGGAGGCCACTGCCAAGCCTTGGCACTTTCGTAGTGCCAACAGAAAGAATGAAAGAAGGGGAGACCCTTTTTTACAATCTCTTTGGGGGTTATGAAAAAGGCGGACGTTGTGGTGTAAGTGTGCTGCGGCATGCTGCGCTATTCTGTAGTGCGCGAGGTCGCGCCACTACTGTTGCGATTGCTGGTTGCTGCAGCCATGGTGGCCCCGTCGTCTACGAAGCAAACGGGAGAAATAATTTTCTCGACTGCTAAATACAAAGGCGAGCATGCTTTTTTTACCTTTGTTTTCGTATCTGACCTCTCCATGTTAGACCTCCGTGTCTGCACAGGCCGAGGAGCAGAGAAAGCTGAAACTCTGGAGGGTGTTCACCTTGGTACAAGTAGGTTCTGTGATTTTTATGAGGGAAAACCAAAAGAAACCAACAAAGGGCAAAAGGGCACCGTTTATCAGGGAAACCCAAAACATCCCAAAAAAGGAGCAAAAAGGGGTACCGCGTGAGCTACCCAGGCACCTGGGGCAGCGCGAAGGGCCGTGCCACGCCGATGATCAAGGCCATGCCCAGGGTGACGGCCACCGAAAGCCACATGCCGTCTTCGGTCGCGACTACCTTGGATTTCTGGCGGGCTCTTTTTGTAGGGAATGAGGGAATCACCCTATGTTTACATAATCCCTTCAAGGGAATATATACATGTATATATATATATGTATATAGGGATTCCCTCATTCCCTACTAAGAACCAGGGGTGTGAATTTTCACGCAATGGGCCTGAAGCTTCATCCGGGTACAATACCAGCCTCTTCATACCACCTTATGACCACACACCCCACCCCCCCCTAAACCCTAAACCCTAAACCCTAAACCCTAAACCCTAAACCCTAAACCCCAAACCCCAAACCCCAAACCCTAAACCCTAAACCCCACCCCCCCCCCCCCCCCAAAAAAAAAAAAAAAAAATGGAGATCAGGTGCGGAGACCAGGACTGCGGAGGCGAGCTTCAGTGCCACCTGAAGCTTTGGGCCTTTGGAGCCTTTTCTTGAGGGCAGTGTGGGGCGGGGGGGGGGGGGGCGGGAATAGGGGCATCTTGCAAGTGGGTGTGGAAGAGGTGCGGATTCCTCACAGTGCATCTGGCAGGGGAACCTTACCTAAACCCTAAGCCCTAAGCCCTAAGCCCTAAGCCCTAAGCCCTAAGCCCTAAGCCCTAAGCCCTAAGCCCTAAGCCCTAAGCCCTAAGCCCTAAGCCCTAAGCCCTAAGCCCTAAGCCCTAAGCCCTAAACCTTAGGGAGAATCGGCTCCAGCCTCGCTAGAGAGCATCCCAACACTCTCTTAGAGTCTTAAGCTAAGTGCCTGAAGGACCACATGAACCCTAAAAGGTTAATTTTTCAAAAAGCGAGTAGAGTAGTACGAGTACAGGGTATCTGGTCCCAATTTGAGGATTCGTTTGGTCCGCAAGGAGCTTCGAGATTTACCCTGAGGCCGTGCTAGCTTACATCCGCAACTCCAACCTATGTTTTGGGGGGGTTTGCGAGACATACTGTCAACATAGGTATCTCTTTTGGGAAATAACTTAATAACATTTCAATAGCCCTAAACCCTCAAACCCCAATAAACACAGGCAAATCTCGCCCTGTCGAACCCAAAGAGGCCCCCAGCCCAAAAAAGGTAGGGTGACGCCGCCTCCATCCAGACGTTGTTGCAGCTGGCCTTGGGAGGGGAATCCATAGCCAGGGCTTCTTAAAGTTTAGGGGTTTGGGGTTTAGGGTTTCGGGCAACTAAGGTGAGAAAATCGGTCTACAGGTAGTGGCTTTTTCGGTGAAGGGGGTCCCAGGACTTCTGTGGATTGACCAGTGACCAGGCAGTATAGCAAGCCATGCTCCATGGTTACTCTGAAAGGCTCCATGCTCCGTTTCCAGCCTGACGAAACTGCAGGGAAGCGGCATATTTGCTGAGCAGCTTCTTTGCGCCCACGATCACTCCTGCGGTTGACAAGAACCACAACAAAGTGTTCTCTTCAAGGATCTTCAGAAGATAGGCTACGACCTTGCAGGATCATGCCTGTCTCAGACAAGCTTCTGTCAGACTCGACCTCCTCGAGGATGCTTCTTTCCGTCAGCATCTGCATGAGCGCATTTCGGCGGAGGACGTCCGCTTCCTTCTTGTCGATGTCCATAATGATGCTTTCTGCCTGAGCCGGCTCAACACTTTTACAAGAGGCAACACCACACCCAGAATCAAGATGATAAACTCGCAAACAACGGGCACGCATCTACTTGGCTTGCATCGGGTTGCTGGAAACTCAGACTCCGCACCGCTGTTTTCCTGCATGGGGATCACGATCCTCAGCTGAGCAAGCACTCAGGCACGAAGAAGTGCCATGGCCCGGTTCTTCTGCGTGGGCTGCGCATGGGCTTGCTGGGACGGGTTTAGGGTTTAGGGTTTAGGGTTTAGGGTTTAGGGTTTAGGGTTTAGGGTTTAGGGTTTAGGGTTTAGGGTTTAGGGTTTAGGGGTAAAACGGCCCGGCCATAGCCAGCGGGAAGGGATGCAGCTCTCTGGATGCGATATTTAAAGTATAGCCGAGTGTGGCATACACTACTTTTAGCATCGTGTCTATACATGCACATCATATACGTAGATGTATACAGTGTCGTGCAATTTGCAAAGGCAAATTGTAGCCATAAACACGGAAACATAAACACGGAACTGCAGTCTGCTGATTAGTTGGAAAAGATCTTAAGAGCATGGCAGGACTTGGGATCCAAAAGCCTCGTCATTGCTTGGGAGTTCCTTCTTCCCCAACCCCCCTCCTCCCCCCCCTGGCCCCCTCCCCCTGCCCCGCAATGCTCTAACGCCCTTCTGGCCCATAGTAGCAAAGACATCACATAACATTGCCAAGCATGGCCGAGCGGCATGGCGTCGTTGCACAACTCGATGGCGGCGCGGCCCCGAACGCTGACCGCCAAGTGCGCTGCTGCGGCCGAAAGCAGGCGCTTCTCCAAGATCTCGTCCTGAGGTCGGGGCTGACGGTCTATGGGGGCTGTAGGGTAAGGCTTACGGGTAAGGGTCAACAAGAATAATTCAGTCCGTGTGAACCACATCCCCGCGTCCTCCAGGCGCTTGGACTCATCGCAAAAGGAGATGTTCAATCGCACTTCGTTGTTTGTCTTCCCACGACTGGCGCTCGCAATGAAGGTTTTGCTTTGCCTGAGCTTCCGACAGGTGGCTTTGTAAATGGGTATTCTTCAGCGCAAGTCAAAAGATGAGATCTCGCCGTCGCAAACGTAAGGGAGCATGGGCGCTCCGAACTGCACTGCTCAGTGGCCGTGTGGTGACATTCTGCTTGAGAAAGAGGAAGGCAAGAAAGAGCGGGATGACCATGCCGTAGATAGTCCCGCTGCCAAGACCGATGCGGTCTACCTCACAGCTGCCAGCACACAGTGGCAATCCGAGGCACACGTCTGCACATGACAACAACACTGCAAGTGGTCATGCCTGTACACACATGTTGTGCGTTTGGCTCTTCCGCTCCTATTCATTTTTTTCATGTGTTTCCAAGACTTGTCTTCAGAGGGTGTATATGTGTTGGGTATTTCAGGTTACTGGGTGATAGGGAGCTGGAGCGGCGCACAAATAAGATGTAACAAGAATAAAACAGCCGCAATAATATAACTACTTGTACCGGGATTTTTGGCACCCTCCCCCCCTAGAGAAGGTCTTGTATGTCATGCTCGCTGCTCCTATCCCCTCCGCCCCGCCTTGCCGGGGGGGGGGCGGGGGAATCAAAAACAAAATCGGCCGCGATGGCTACCTTATAACCCCTAAACGCACACCAGACATAAACAATTAGCACCAGCACTGTGGCAACAGGCTGAGGCTTCCACCCAAGCTGCCATTCCGGTGCTGTCGGTGCACAGCAGATGTGGGAAGAGAGTCCGGAAAGCGGACTCCTTCGGGATCTCTCTTCCTGGCAAGCTTTGACGTAGCTCTTTCGACTCTCGCGGCTGCTTTCCGCTCTTAAGGACACTTGTGGGTTTATAGGGGTACCTTATAATGGGGTCCTTATCTTAAGGAGATCCTACTACTTTGGGGGTCTGTATTGGGGTCCCCTATTTAATTTCGTAAACCCCCACGTAAGAATTTGTACAGTAGTCAGCGGGGCGCCTTCGCCATCTTGGTCTTGGCAGCCGAGAAGCTGCACGGCCCCCGAGGCACCACCCACAAAGAGCACCGTCAGAACATTCAAAGCCATGCTGACTCCTGCGAGACGGGTGCTTCACACATGAGATTCCTCCAACGAAATATACTTCACTTAGTGCCACTGCCTCGTTGCCGCAGCACCTGGTAGCACAGGGTAGCGCCGAATGAAAACCTGCCTCAATGCCATCATCCCATTTCACAAAGCCGTGTGCTCAGAAGGATATGCCGAAGCCGAATGAAGCCAGTGTAACTGTGTGCGGTGATTTCGTCTCTTGTGACTCTTGTGTATATCTAATCCTCAACCTAATTGCCTAAAAGGCTTAAGCTGCATCTCTAAAAAATGGAGCTCCTGTACCAAGGGAGCAGATCTCCAGGCACGAGCAAGAAAACAACACCAGGATGGGGAGCAAGGGCGTCGCCAGTGCTGTGAGGGTCCTGCTATGTCCCAAAAATGAGCTTTCAGCAAGTTTTGGGAGGTTTCCCTTGGTTTGGGTCACGCTTGTGAAGACCAGCCGCCTGACGAGCTCGCCGTCGAAGCGGCACTGTAGGTCCACGAAGCTCACAAGCTGTGTCCCCGTGAGCTGGAGAGCTTCAACGTAAGCCATCATGGCTTCGCCTGAGTCAACCCCCATCCTGGAAGCCGATAAAAAGGCCTTAACCGCATCTCACATTCCCACAACCTTGCAGAAGCCTCATGCCATTCTCATGGCATACAAGTCGCCCTCTGCTTCCGCGGGCACTTCCTGTGGAGCTTCCTGCCATGCTCCCTGCGCCTGCTTCGCCAAGCGCCTTTGCTCTCCGTCCCAGGCTTCCCCCATTAACAACCAGAAGCATAGTGACAAGGACAGGCAGGCGGTTGCAACATGCACCAGATGTGCCGCAGACCTTTCGAGAACGCCAAGGATGCCAAGGTGCCCGGAAGCAGCCCAAAGCTGCGCCAGCTGCAGTAGCACCAAGCCTCTCAGAGGTGAGAATTTGGATGTGAGGACAAGCGAAGCCATGAACGCTCAACCCTCAACATCCCTCACGCAAGGCGACGCAAGGCTTATTGGTTTGGGCTCCCCATCCTTCCGGCAGCAGGAGTCGGCCCGCGCACAGGGCCACCAAGCTGGGACGAGGCACGTAGGACCTCTCGTGCGGGCGTGGGAAGCTAGGAAGGCCGTTGCCATGTCTCTTGCTGCGACTCCTGGCCCTCTTCTATTATTAGTCTATTATGATGAGATGCCACCAGCACTTCTGAGCAGGGGGCTTCGACATGTAGGCGGCAGTGCCAAGGAGAGCCAGCAGCAGGCTTGCCACAGCAGCAGCCTGGAGGAAGTCGGTCGCCTCCGTGCCCAAGTCCAGGCACTTTGCGCACTGGCCGCCCGCGGAGCGGTAGGTGGGCGCGCAGGCCGTGCACAGCGGGCCACTGTATCCTTGGAGCGGAGCCCTTTATGGAGCCCTCACAATCCAATTCTGCAAGCCAAGTCATGTAAACTTATAAACACAATCCTATAAGCATTAGATACTGTCACTCCTTATATGTGGGGATGGAAATTGCAATGTGGACTGGCCAAAACAAAACAACCGAAATGGGGAGCTTGCCATTGAGGCCGGGGTCCAGCGGCGCAGTGGCCCTTGCCGGGGCAGCGCAGCGGATCCAAGCAAGCGAAGACCGTCGCCCTGGGCGCCCCTGGCAGGCGCACATAGCGAGGCTCGGGGTCTGCCACCTCTCAGGGTTCGCGCACGAGATTTCGGATGATTTCAGCTTCCATATCTTTCCTCATTCTGCCGGGCCTCTGCGATGCTGCCGTTCTGGGGGCACTGGAGGTGCAGCTTGCTGCACGGGGAGCAATGGTCTTTCAGCAGTGCCGTTTGGGGGTCGCATTGGCAGCTCCTGTTGCCTTCGGGACCCCGAAGCTGCCCGAACTTGCACTCACACGAGGCCGACGTTTGGGGCGCGATGCTGTTCGCTGGGCACTCCTCGCATTGCGGCTGACCCTCCCTGTCTGTGAAGGTATCGGCTGGGCATGCTTTGCATGCGGTGCCCCTCCCGGCATAGCCCCGCGAGCACACGCACATCTGATCGGGGAGGAACAGATCCGGCGTGACCTTCAGGGAGGCGAGGGTGAGCTCGGCACAGGCGTAGCCGCCAGCCGCATTTGCGAACGGCCTTGGGACCGCGCTCTCTGAACAAAAACGAAACCTGGCAATATTGGACCTCAAGTGCAATCATCTGGAATCATGAAACGATCCGTCTAACTGTCACGCTGCCCTGGATGCTGAGCAACTCTTCGACTTGGACACTTGCCAATGCTACCAGATTTTTTTGGCGGAAGCCCCTACTAGGCAAAAGGCAAAGGGCAGGTTCAGTCCTGCAAATAGAAAGTACACTTCCATGCATGGCCGCGCTATACTGTGCATTTGCTGACTGCTTCCGGCCTTGACTGGCTGGTTTCCAGCTCCTTCCCGAGCAGCTGCCGCACTTCCTCTCGCGATCGGTTTGCCAACTCCGTGCCCTGGAGGTTCAAGTCTAGTCGGGATCGGACTGCTTCAGCCAGGGCAACCTTGTCGATGGTCATGGGGATTGCATTGTAGCTGAGGCTGAGGATGCGCAGGGCCGAGGGAGGCGAGCGGAGGCGGGCGATGCTGTTCTTTGATAGGTCTAGCACTTGCAGCGCCTCGCCCAAAGTGCTTGGCCAAGCTGCCCACAACACACCGTCGACAGACAAAGCCAGCGCGTTCAGCGTCGGCAGCTCGCCATGGAGCCCGCTTCCGGCGGCAAAGAGGCTCGTGACGGGCGTCGCTGCCAAGGGCAGTAGGAGCTCCGCCACGGAGCCGTTGAGGGAGCAGTTGCTCACCTCCAGTGGGATGTGCTCAGTGGGCTGGGCGACTTCAACATGGGTGGGGGATCAAAAAAGAGGATCCACACGAAAAAGGATTGCTTCAATGCTCATGGTAAGGGGATCCGATGCGAAATCCGAATATGTTCGGGTCCCTTCATCCCGATCACAAAAAATGAAGGATCAACTCGGATCAACAACGAATCACAGGTTTAGACACAAGTATATAAGGCGATCCGGTCAAAAATGCGCAGAAAAGAGGGGAGGGGGGGGGGGGGGCTGCAGCCTCCACCCCCCCCCCCCCACCACCCCCCCCCCCACCCCCCCGCCCCACCACCACGTTTGCAAACACAGTGCCCAATGGAATGTCTACTGACAGCGCGATATTGGTTTAAGTCCTTGCAGTAGGGCAGGAGCAATACAAAGACTTTGATGGAAGTAGTAGTGTCAATGATTTGCATGGTCAAAATAGTAGCTAACGGTCATAGTACTAGCATAAATACATCGAATATTCGGCAAGGTCATACTGCATAAACAAGTCATAGCAACAACAAGAGAAAGACACATAATGGTGATAGTAACCATAATAAATACAAAAACATTCTCAGAAAAGTGAGCAATAGTGATGATAGAAGAATTGCTAATTGCAGAAGCATGAGTACTGACTGACCGTTAATTCGTTCCTTGTTTGCTTGTGTTCTTCCTTCCTTGGTTTCACCGTTTCCTTATTGCTTCCATTCTACCTATGTAGCTAGCTGTCGTTTGGCATGTATTTACTCATTGCTGCATTTTGTCCGTTAATCCTTTCGAACTGTCTTTTACCACAACAACTTTTACAAAGCACTCTCCCAACTTCAGCCCTCGGACTTTCTTTAAATCAAATTCCAACGTACAAAGTGGGCCCCGGGCGTCGAGGATTTGAAGGCTGGGCAGCAAGCGGTTTGTCGTGGAAAGGTCCAGGCTTTCCACCGGCTGCAAACCGCCCACTCGGCTCCCCTCGGCATGGGCTGCGAGAGAACCGACTTAAGGCTGACCGAGCCGTGCTCTTGTGACGGAAAACTCCACTGAGAGCGCGGCTGCCAACTTCATCTCACGCAGCTCTTTGCAGCAGCGCCGCCAATGGGCATATGAAATAAAGCTGGTGATACCCGTTTCCGAGAGGTCCACCTTCTCGAGGGCCGGCCAACCTCGGAGCAAACCCAACTCCCCTTCGACTTCCTGCAGCCCGGCAAGGTTGAGGACCTTCAGCTTCCGCATCTCTCGCAAGCTGCTCAGATGCCCGCGGATGCAGCTCTGACCCAGAAGCAGCTCTAAAGCCTCGGTCAGGTTGGAGAGGGCTCGCAGGTCGCCGGCGACCTGCGTCTGCTGGAGGTCCAGGACCCGGAGCTGGGTGAGTGGGGAGAGGGCTTGCAGATCGCCGGCGACCTGTGTCTGCTGGAGGTAAATGAAATGGAGCTGGGTGAGTGGGGAGAAAGCTCGCACGTCGCCGGCGACCTGCGTCTGCTGAAGGTACAGGACCCGGAGCTGGGTGAAAGGGGATAGGGCTTGCAGGTCGCCGGCGACCTGCGTCTGCTGGAGCTGCAGGACCCGGAGCTGGGTGAAAGGGGAGAGGGCTTGCAGGTCGCCGGCGACCTGCGTCTGCTGGAGGTGCAGGACCCGGAGCTGGGTGAGTGGGGAAAGGGCCCGCAGGTCGCCGGCGACCTGCGTCTGCTGGAGGTTCAGGGAAAGGAGCTGGGTGAGTGGGGAGAGGGCTCGCAGGTCGCCGGCGACCTGCGTCTGCTGGAGATTCAGGGCTCGGAGCTGGGTGAGTGGGGAGAGGGCTCGCAGGTCGCCGCCGAAATGCGTCTGCCGGAGGTCCAGGCCCTGGAGCTGGGTGAGTGGGGAGAAGGCTCGCAGGTCGCCGACGACCTGCGTCTGCTGGAGGTCCAGGTACCGGAGCGTCGTGAGGTTTTGGAGGGATTTGATGTTCCCCATGGCTTGCGACTTCCTCAGAGCGATCCGGGTCACGCACCCGTCCTCACAGCGGATTCCTGGCCAGCTGCAGGGCGGCCCATCGCCTCGGAGGCCGAGGCCCCGCAGCGCGTGGAGGAGGACAGCCTCCACGCCTCGGCTCGACATCTCGCCTGCACGGCCTTTTCGCCCCCACTACCCCAAATCAAGGCCGCGTAGCATCTATCCTCAACCCGAAAAGCAGCTTTCGGCTCAGGCACACGCAGCTGCCCGTGCAGAAGTGCCCTGGCCAAGAACACCATCACAAGAAGCCCTCTTTCTTTCTTTCCCTTTACTTTCTTTCTTTCTTTCTGAGGACCCAGACATCTTAGCCTCCTCGTCACAATACACAAAGTCATGTGAGGGCACTCAAGGGGAAAGCCACCAAGTCCTGCACTACACGGTGGCGCGCTGCAAAACGTTTTGCATAGGAAAGTCCACGTCATTCGGCACACGGCGCTCTCTCCCACTCTGTGTCTCTCTCTCTCTCTCTCTGAGCTCTTTCTTTCTTTTATTATTCTATTTCATTCCATTCCATTCTATTCTTTTCTTTCTTTCTTTCTTCGGGCCTGGGGGCCAGCCCCTGCGCGATGAGCCCGCTCCCACTCGTGGAGACTTGAAACACTGGAGGGGGTGTGTTATCAACCCCGCTCCCTGGACCAAAACCTGGGACTCAACGCAGCAAAGAACAACTTCACATCCCTGGCTTTCGTGGTGGCCCTGAACTGCCCCCCCCCCCCCCGCCCCCGGCCCCCCACCCTCTCTCTCGCTGAGGGTTGATATCACAGCAGATTCTCAGAATCCACCGTCCTCCAGCCAGACTCTCGGCGGACTGAGACTCTCTCTCTCCCTCCCTCTCTTTCTCATGTGTGACTGATCTCCTCCGAAAAATGCCATTGAACAAAATGCACATCCTGCAACACCTGAATTCCTGCATGCGTATAAGCAAGATACAAAGGCGCGTCGGCGCAAGGCAGGTCTCACAGCTTCCGGTGCTTGCCGCAAGGTTTCCAGAGGTTGACGTACCCAGCCCAGAAAGAGGCATATCTGCGGGCTTCGGTTGCAAAGTAAAGTTGAGGCCCCAAAGTCACATGCTCACTGGTTCTTGACCCCTGCATGCTAGCTTGTTGTTATGTAGGGGGGGACGCGTGCCTCTTGGTCGGTCAGGGAAAGCCCGGACGCAAAGCCATCGGAATCCTTCCGTGGTCCACAACACAACGCCGAGAAGGACGGGCGTTGAGCCCAACAGGTTTTTGATTGAGCCTCCTAAACTCCTGAACTCCTAAACCCCCTAAACCCTAAACCCTTAATATGTGCGAGGCTTTTAAACAGGGGGGCGGAGGGAACAGACGGAGCACCTTGCCTGAGCTCGTTGATGTTCCGATCCCGACCCCAGCGCAGCGCCCTCGGCGGCCTTGCCAAAATGAGGAGCCAACACCCACATCTGGGTACTACCCCTAAACCCTGTATCAAATGAGAGTGCTGTGAATCATGCGAGGGCATGCGAGCAGCTTGCCTGAGCTTCCTGAACTGCAGCTTCTTGCAGTTTCGCAACCGGCTTCAGCCAGGGCCCAGCTGACTTCTGCGCAGCAATGGCGATGCAACAATGCGTTGTAAAACTTCCAACTGGCTGCGATACCGATCCGGAAACCATGGAAGTCTGCGGGGCTTTGATGTGTATTGATTGCCAACAGTAGGACCTGCAGTCCTTTTAAATTGAGAGCACCAAAAACATTGAAGGTTCGGGGCTCTCTCCATGTCCCACTGGTTCAGGGCACCGCAGGAAGCCGGTTGCACTGCTAAGGCCCTACAGACATCCCAGGTCCTAGGACTCTAGGACACATTGTCTTAGGATATTGGGGGTGCAGCCGGTGTAGTGGAATGGGCGGTCCTTGTCGGGCCGAAGCGTGTGGGCGGAGTTCAGGAGGTCCTCTGCTGCGCAAGGGAGGCAAGGATCTCAGGCTTGTGCGGAGAGGAGGCTCTGAAAGACCCAATGGAGGGGAAAGGAGGGGTGCTTCTGGCACCCAAGTTAGGTGCTACCTCGAGTCTTAACTGCCAATTACTCTGAAGCAGGGTACCTATTTCACGTCCGAGAATCTTCTGCATGGAGGCCTTGGAGCTCTGGTCGAACTGCCAGGGAGGTGTGGAGCACGAGGCAGAGCACCACCGTGGAAACATATGGAAGCATTTTTGGCAAACATGTTGCAAGGCAAGGCTTTGAGCCAGAGCCTCACAAGGTTCACGATTGTCGGCAAGACATGCTTCCGGGGCACTCTATCTTCAGGGCCAGACTACTGCGGGACTGCATCTGAACCTGCATGTCAAGACTGCCACCTACTAGCGCGAGACTGTGCTATACCATCTTTGCGACAAGTTGGTAGTTTTCGGGACTGGACTTTTGGCAGATTGGGAGAAGCTGATGTCACGCAGAGCTGCCGTGGCCTCGTGGGCTCGCGGCTCCAGGCTTGCAACGGAGAGTGCGCAAGGGCCTCGCGTAGAAAGGCTTCGTATTCCCTTATAGGGCTCAAGCTTCAGGTTAGTAGAAAGGGATCTTTGGGTTCAATGGTTCAGAAAGGGACGCGGAGCTATGTTGAGAGCTCCACACCTTCATGGGAGTTTCCTGGTTCATGGACAACCTCACATCCCACAAGTGGGACGTACGATGCTCGAATATAGCGTACGATGCAGCGGATACTGCGCAGTGTCGTATCGTGCAATCGTCGTCTACTATTCCGGCATAGACAGGGCTGATGCTTCTAGACGATGGTACTCTACTTTAGAAGAGAACGCCTCCACTGCACATTGCCTGCCACGGGCGTACACCTGCGTACACCACTACGTGACGCCTGCGGCACTGCATCGCGACCCTAAAACCTAAACCCGAAACCCTGAACCCTAATCCGCTATCCCGTGCTCCGCTTTTTTCCACAGGCAAAGCACGCTCTCATCTTGCGGAGCATGCAGAGGTTCACAAGGTTTCATAGGTAAGTGGGCCCGTCACGCACCGAGTTCTTCGTATGCCTATTATTAGTCTTTACACCTTAAGCAGGTGATGGGGCATGAAAAAAACACACCTTTTCGGGGGGCCCACGTCTGGAGGTCGCCTGCATATCGGGCTCTCGGGGTATGAAGGTGAACCACCTGCTGTTTCTGTCCAGCAGGACACCAGATGCACTTGATGCAAAAAAGTCTGCAGCTCCTCCTCAGTCTCATCTCCTGAATATCCCTAAACTCTAAACCCCAAAAGCGACAGCGTCATCTTCAGAAACAGACGCTCTGAGAGGGTTTCCGGGCATGTTTGAACCGAAAAGGGTCATCCCAGGAGTCTCTCGAAAGTCGCCGCATCCCTCGGAATCTCAAGTCAATGACCTTTCAGAGGCTGGGTTTAGTAAGGGTTTTGGGGTTTAGGGGTTAGGGTTTGGAGATCCGACTGGCGCCTAGATGAAGACAAAAGCGTGCCGACTCCATCTGCCGTTGAAACTCTAGAGGAGCCGCAGCTCTTCTGCTTTGACCTCGACGCACTCACCGCGGCGCAAGGCAGGCAGCTTCTGCTCGAGATCCTGCAGAGCAGCAGCCCCGAGGGTTTAGGGTTTAGGGTTTAGGGTTTAGGGTTTAGGGTCACGGGTCACGGATGTCTCGTTCATCTAGCGATGTGGAGGGTATGGAGATGAGGCAGGCAAGCGGAATCCAAACTTCCAACAAGACTTGTGACAAGGAACTGCTCAACAGTGTCGGGATGCGAAAGGGGTCTAACCTGAACCCATGACAAGTGTGAATTCTGGAGTTGTGAGCTCGGGGCCTTTCGTAACATTTTGTGCCATACAGTAGCACACCAAAGTCCACCAGAGTATACCAAAGCATGCTGCAGTCTGCTAGCCAATTCTGTAGGACTGGATGCTGCCATACGCTTCTACATCAGTGCGGCAGAAAACCCCAACACCTGTGCATAGACTCAGAACATGGACTACACCATCTTTGCGAACTAAAACAGTATGCGTACTACATGTAAACGATGTGAAACTTATACATCTCCTAAATAAAAGAAAACCGGTGCTCCGCCAGCTGTGCAGCCCTGGCCTGTTGCAGGCGTAGCGCCAATGCCTGGGCAGATTCATATTTTTCCTCTAACCTCCACATGCTGCAGATTACTCGTATCCAAAAAACTCAGCTGTGCGTTACAGGCAGGTTGGAGGTAAGGCCTCGTGGGGGATCGTTCGCCACATTTCGCCACCACCACGATAGGTATCTACCCCCGGACACCCAGACCAAATAATTCAAGATGGTCCTTCCCTTGGGATATGCGGAATTCCTACAGTCTAGTCTTCAACAGGGTTGTTCTACACCACTATACCCAGACTACATCACTTTGCTGTAGCAACTCTACTATTCATTGGGATGTTCCCCTTACACTAACAGTCCTTTGATAGGGATTATAGCACCACCCGATTGCAATCCCGTTAGAAGGCGGAACATCCCAAACTATAAGACTCTACTGTGCGTGGCCTCGGTGGAGTCTGGGCGCAGCAGCTGGAAGGCCGCGAGCAGCACTGGGGCCTCAGGGAGGGAGGCGCAAGCCAAGGGGGGCTGAGGAGTCACAGCGCAGAGAGAGAGAGAGAGAGAGAGAGAGAGAGAGAGAGAGAGATGGAGAGCCTGCAAGAAACAAAGCCAAAGATAGTTCGCAGAGCATGCTCGGCTACTGGACCCAAGCATATAGTTCGCACAGTGTGTACTTGGCGACCAGGACGTGGACCCAACACGGCGGCAACAAGAAATGCCCAGAAATGCCAAGGCCACCCCGCAACTTCCTGCCTCTCAGAAGCCGTCGAAAAACGCACAGGCGCCTGTGAAGCCCTCGTGAATTGCTGACAAAGTCGGTGCCCTACCCTTCACCATTATAGCTCGTGTCCATAACTTACCTGCTACGATGCCCCCGAAGCCTAAAACTCTACTGAGCCCTGCTGAGGCTAAACCCTTCGAACCCCAACCCTTTTTTCCCTCCAACCCCTTTAAACCCGAAAGACGAAACACGAAACCCTCAACCTTTTTTTGCATCCGGACTTGCCTAAACCCCTTCTCTCTCTCTCTCTCTCCCTCTCTCTCTCTCTCTCTCACATCCCGGTCCCTAAACCCCCTAAGCCCTGAAACCCCCCAAAACCCGAAGCCCAAGTCGCAGCCAGGGCCAGGCGCGGGAGGAGCCGGTCCCGGCGTGCGAAGCCCACGGAGGCCACTGCCAAGCCTTGGCACTCTCGTAGTGCCAACAGCAAAAAAGACAGAAAGACAGAAAGACAGAAAGACAGCAAGACAGAAAGACAGAAAGACAGAAAGACAGCAAGACAGAAAGACAGAAAGACAGAAAGACAGAAAGACAGAAAGACAGAAAGACAGAAAGACAGAAAGACAGAAAGACAGAAAGACAGAAAGAAAGAACGAAAGGAGGGACCCTCTTGGGGGTTATAAAAAATTGGTTGTGGTGTACTGCGGCATGCGGCGCCATTCTGTAGTGTGGAGTGTTGTTGCGGTTGCTGCTTGCTGCTGCCCGTGGTGGGCTTTGGGATCCCGGCACTTGCGGCCGCAGTCGACTAAAACAAAGGGAGCACATTTTTCGCCTTGGTTGGGTTGCCAGCTGACGTCTCCATGTTCCTGTTAGGTCTCTGTATCTGCACAGGCCGAGGAGCAAAGAAAGCTGAAACTCTGGAGGGTGTTCACCTTGGTAGGTGCGCTACGGAACCCGAAACCCCAAAATGAGCAAAAGCGAGCCTTTTATAAGGGAAACCCAAAAAATCCCAACAAAGGGGGCAAAAAGGGGGTACCGCGTGAGTTACCCAGGCACCTGGGGCAGCGCGAAGGGCCGTGCCACGCCGATGATGAGGGCCATGCCCAGGGTGACGGCCACCGAAAGCCACATGCCGTCTTCGGTGGCGACTACCTTGGATTTCTGGCGGGCTCTTTGTTGTAGGGAACGAGGGAAGGAAGCTACCCTAATCCCGTGAGGGGTACAAAAAAGGGCCCTACTTCCCTCATCCCTGCGAAGAACCAGGGGGGTGAGTTTTCACATATGGGCCCGAAGCTTCCCCCATTTTGAAGGCAGTGTTGGAAGAACATAAGCCTCTTCATACCGCGCGAGAGGTTCTGCATTTGAGGCCAGAGGCCTCAAGCACCACAACAAAAACTTGGAGATCAGGTGCGGAGACCAGGACTGCGGAGGCGAGCTTCAATGCCACCTGCGGCTGGCATGCGATGAGGGCAGCGCAGGGGTGGGGGAGTAGGGGGGGGGTAGGGGGCAACTACAACCTTTGTTTTTGGGGATTCTGCGAGAAATACGGACAACATTCGCACCCTTTTGGGAAGTACCTTCATAACCCTTTTTGCATCTGGATAACCCTAAACCCTCAAACCCCAACTAACGTAGGCAAAGATCGCCCTGTTGAACCCAGAGAAGCCCCCAGCCCACAAATGTACGGCGATCCCGCCTCCATCCAGACGTTGTTGCAGCTGGCCTTGGGGGGGGAGTCAACAAGCCAGGGCTTCTTAAAGTTTAGGGGTTTGGGCACGGTTTGGGGTTCAGGCTTTGGTGAGAAAGTCGGTCTACAGGTACTGGCTTTTTCGGTGAAGGGGGTCCCAGGACTTCTGTGGATTGACCAGTGACCAGGCAGTATAGCAACCCAGGCTCCAAGGTTACTCTGAAAGGCTCTATCCTCTGTTCCCAGCCTGACGAATCGTGCAGGGAAGCGGCGTATTTGCTGAGCAGCTGTTTAGCACCCACGATCACTCCTGAGGTTGACCAGAACCACAACAAAGTGCTCTCTACAAGGATCTTCAGAAGATAGGCTACGACCTTGCAGGATCATGCCTGTCTCAGACAAGCTTCTGTCGGACTCGACCTCCTCGAGGATGCTTCTTTCCGTCAGCATCTGCATCAGCGCATGTCGGCGGACCACGTCCGCTTCCGTCTTGTCGGTTTCCATAATGATGCTTTCTGCCTGAGCCGGCTGCGCACTTCACAAGAGGCAACGCCACGACCAAAACTAAAACTATATGAAATCGCAAACAGAGCTTGTGTCGAGGTGCGGGAAATTCAGACTCCACACCGCTGTTCTCCGTAGGGATCACGATCCTGAGCTGAGCAGGCTCTGAGGCACGAAAATGTGCCATAACCCGGTTCTACTACATGGGCTGCACATTGGAACGAGTGCTACAGCCAGCGGAAAGGGAGGCAGCCCTCTGGGTGCGGTATCAAGTGCAGCCGAGTGCAGCATGTACTGTAGTTATATAGTATATACATATATCAGTATACTGTCTATACATCTACACATAGTGTACGTATATGACTATGTATATGTTTATGTACTTCGTATAGTGCCGTAATTACAGTTTGCAAAGGCGCAATACATGTCTGTGTCGTGCAATTTGCAGAGGGTTCGCTGTGCTTTTGGTTTGGCCTCAGGATTCGGGGTCAAAAGCCTCACGGTACCCTGGGTCCGCAATGGATCCGCAATGGAAATACTCTACGCCTTTCTGGCCCATAGCGTGGCCAAGCGGCATGGCATCGTTGCACAACTCGACGGAGGCGCGGCCTCGAACGCTTACCGCCAAATGCGCTGCTGCGGCTGCAAGCAGGCGCTTCTCGAAGATCTCGCCCTGAGGTCGGGGGCTGATGGTCTATGGGGGCTATAGGGTAAGGGTCAACAATAAGTCAGTGCGTGCGAACAACATCCCAAGTCCTTGAAGCGCTTGGACTCATCGCCGAAGGAGATGTTCAGTCGCACTTCGTTGTTTGTCTTCCCACGACTGGCGCTCGCCAAGAAGGTTTTGCTTTGCCTGGGTTTCCGAGAGATGGGCTTGTCATGCATATGGTGCAGTCCAAGTCAAGAGATGAGAGTTCGCCGTCGCAAACGTTAGGGAGCATGAAGCTAGCTGCTAGTTTTGCTGCGATCTTCTCGACCGTGCCGTGTCACTTTCCTCTCCGAACATGACTTGCGCTGTCCGTGTTCGTCCGCCTGCTAACGATTTCGTTGTTGGCTCAGGGCTCAGAATTGCCTGCCGAGTGGCCGTGTGGTGACATTCTGCTTGAGAAAGAGGAAGGCCAGAAAGAGCGGGATGACAACGCCATAGATAGCCCCGCTGCCAAAACCGATTCGGTCTACCTCACAACTGCCAGCACACAGGAACACGTTAGCACATGGCAACAAGCAAGTGGTCATGCCTGTATGAGGAGCCGCAATTTTTGTTGCAGGTATGATGTTGAAGCCTGCACGCTGCGGCAACTGTGCAAGATGTGTAGGTGGACCTCCCTCAAAGTATCGGTATATGCCGAGCCTTATGGACACGGGGAGTCCGGAGGCTGAAAGTATAGTTTCCACATTAATTTTGAGGCACAGTGGATAAAAGAAAGGGACCCTGTGCAGCCTGCATTGTTTGGCACACATGGGATTTTCAGGGGCTTCCATGGGTTGATCGCGACTCATGGTTTGGCATGGCTGGCCCAGGGGTTTGTCTTTCCAATATGTACACACATGCGGTGAGTTTGGTTCTGCCGCTCCTATATATGTACTATTTCCATGTATTTCCAGGACTTGTCTTCCTAGGGTACATACATACATACATACATACATACATACATACATACATACATACATACATACATACATACATACATACATACAGTACATATATTAATATGTATATATGTCTATATGTATATATGTATATATGTATATATGTATATATGTATATATGTATATATGTATATATGTATATATGTATATATGTATATATGCATATATGTATATATGTATATATGTATATATGTATATATGTATATATGTATATATGTATATATGTATATATGTATATATGTATATATGTATATATGTGTATATGTATATATGTATATATGTATATATGTATATATGTATATATGTATATATGTATATATGTATATATGTATATATGTATATATGTATATATGTATATGTATATATATATATGTGTATGTTTCTACATTTGTATATGTATATATATATATATATATGTCGGGTATTTCAGTTTGCTGGGTGTTACTTGATCACACTCCAGCACTGTGGCAACAGGCTGAGGCTCCCACCCAAGCTGCCATTCCGGTGCTGTCGGCGCACAGCAAATGTGGGAAGAGAGTCCGGAAAGCAGACTCCTTCGGGATCTCTCTTCCTGGCAGGCTCTTTCGACGCTCGCAGCTGCTTTCCGCTCTTAAGGACACCTATAAGATTTGTACAGTAATCAGTGCGGCGCCTTCGCCATCGTGGTCTTGGCAGCCGAGAAGCTGCACGGCCCCCGAGGCACCACCCACAAAGAGCACCGTCAGAACATTCAAAGCCATGCTGACTCCTGCGAGACGGGTGCTTCACTGCTTCACACATGAGATTCCTCCAACGAAAACATGCTCCACTTAGTGCCACCGCCTCGTTGCCACGGTAGCACATGGTAGCACCGAATGAAAACCTGCCTCAATGCCATCATCCCATTTCACAAAGCAGTCTGCTCAGAAGGATATGCCGAAGCTGAGAAAGAAGCCTGTGCAACTGCGTTTGGTGATGTCGTCTCTTAATTGTGTATATCTGACTCCTCAACCTAAATTGTCTGAAATGGTTTAAGCTGCATCTCTAAAACATGGAGCTCCTGTACCAAGGGAGCAGATCTCCAGGCACGAGCAAGAAAACAACACCAGGATGGGGAGCAAGGGCGTCGCCAGTGCTGTGAGGGTCCTGAACGTTAATAAAGCCAGAAAGAGCTTTCATCAAGTTTTCCGAGGTTTTCCCTAGTTTGGGTGGTCTGGACTTCCGAGGCAGTGCCCATCAGGGTATGCCTGACGAGCTCGCCGTCGAAGCGGCACTGCAGGTCCACGAAGCTCACAAGCTGCGTCCCCGTGAGCTGGAGAGCTTCGACGTAGGCCATCAAGGGGTCGCCTGAGAGCAACCCTCAACCTTGAAGCCGATAAAAGGCCTTAACCGCATCTCACATTCCCACAACCCTGCCACTCTCATCCCGATACGAGTACCAGAGATTGGTATACAAGTCGCCCTCTGCTTCTGCGGGCACTTCCTGTGGAGCTTCCTGCAATGCTCCCTGTGCCTGCTTCGCCAAGCGCCTTTGCTCTCCGTCCAAGGCTTCCCTCATTAAAACACAGAAGCTTCCTGGCATCGTGATAAGATGTGATAGGGCCAAGGACAGGCGGTTGCAACACGCACCAGATGTGCCTTGCCAGTAGGCCTTACTCGAGGACACCACGGATGCCAAGGTGCCCGGAAGCAGCCCAAAGCTGCGCCAGCTGCAATAGCACCAAGCCTCTCAAGAGGTGAGTAAACGGGTGAGAAAGAGAAAACAGGGTCTCGGACATGGCAACCAGCCCTTGAACGCTCAACTTGTCAACCTTCAACATCCCGCACACTCATTGAAACGTCCCAACACAACACCTCACTTTGGGCTCCCCATCCTTCCGGCAGAAGGAGCCGGCCCGCGCACAGGGCCACCAGGCCGGGACGAGGCACGTAGGACCTCTCGTGCCGCTTGGGAGTGGGAGGTTAGGACATCGCTGCAACGTCTGTCAATACGACTCCCGGGATCAATGCTTACTTAGATGTGCTTCGCTGACGTGCAAAGAGATGCCACACCACAGCACTTCTGAGCTGGGGGCCTCAACAGGTAGGCTGCCATGCCAAGGACAGCCAGCAGCAGGCTTGTCACAGCACCAGCCTTGAGGAAGTCGGTCGCCTCCGTGCCCAGGTCCAGGCACTTTGTGCACTGGCCGCTCGTGGAGCGGTAGTTGGGCGCGCAGGCCATGCACAGCGGGCCACTGTATCCTTGGAGCGGAGCCCTATGGAGCCTTCACAATCCAATTCTGCAAGCCAAGTCATGTAATATCACTTGTTAACGAAAATCGCAATGTGGACGGGCAAAACAAAAACAACCGAAATGAGAAGCTTGCCAATCAGAGGCCGTGCACCAGCAGCGCAGTGGCCCTTGCCCGGGCAGCGCGGCGGATCCAAGCAAGCGAAGACTACCGCCCTTGGCGCCCCTGGCAGGCGCCCGTAGCGAGGCTGAGGCTCGCATTGCAGCTGCCCCTCCCTGTCTGTGAAGGTGTTGGCTGGGCATGCTTTGCAAGCAGTGCCCCGTCCAGCGTAGCCCCGAAAGCATGTGCACATCTGATCCGGGAGGAACAGATCCGGCGTGACCTTCAGGGAGGCGCGGGTGAACTCGGCACAGATGTAGCCGCCAGCCTGATTTGCGAACGGCCTCGGGACGAGGCGCTGAACAACACCGAACATCAAGTGCAGTCATGAAACAATGAGCATCTCTGCTACTTGGACACTTGCAAAATGCTACCAGAACCTTTTGACTGAAGCCTCCAAGCGAACGGCAGTTTCAGGCCGATTTCGCGACTTACACTTCCATGCGTGCCCGCGCAATTCTGCCATGTGTATACTGTGCGTTTGCTGACTGCTCCCGGCCTTGACTGGGTCGTCTCCAGCTCCTTCCCAAGCAGCCGCCGCACTTCCTCTCGGTTTGCCAACTCCGTGCCCTGCAGGTTCAAGTCTAGTCGGGATCGGATTGCTTCAGCCAGGGCAACGTTGTCGATGGTCATGGGGATGGCGTTGTGGCCGAGGCTGAGGAGGCGGAGGCCGGCGGGAGGCGAGTGGAGGCGGGCGATGCTGTTCTTTGAGAGGTCGAGCTCTTGCAGCGCCTCGCCCAAAGTGCTTGACCAAGCTTCCCACCGCGAACCGTCGACCCGCACAGCCAGCGCGTTCAGCGCCGGCAGCTCGCCATGGAGCCCGCAGTCGGCGGCCGACAGCCTGGTGATCGGCGTCGCTGCCAAAGGCAGCAGGAGCTCCGCCACGGAGCCGTTGAGGGAGCAGCTGCTCACCTCTAGTGGCCGGGATAATCGAAAAGAGGATCCACACAAAAAAGGTTTGCTTCAATTGATGGTGATCCGATGCGAGATCCGAGTATGTTCGGGTCGCTTCATGCCAATCACGAAAAGTAAAGTGAAGGATCAACTCAGATCAACAACGAATGACAGGTAAGGCGATCTGGTCAAAAATGCGCCCCTACCTCGTGAGCGCGCGGGCCTCCTTGTGGGTCAGAACATGACTCCAAAATGCTCGCATGACGGGTTTGAAACGGGTTCGCATGGTTGGCAAAGCATGTCGACTGATGGCGCGACATGCTTTGAAGCAAGCTTGCGCTGCGTTTGAACGACCGGGGGGGGGGGGGGGCGGGGCCGCCCCCGCGCCATTTGCAAACACGATGCTCGCCTTTAAATTGCTCGCATGATGGGTTTTGGAAAGGATTCATATCATTCACCAAAATTGTCCATTAATGGCGCGAACTGCTTGGAGACAAGTTTGCAGTGCCAGGACAGAGAAGGGGAAGAGGGGCGCAGCCCCCTCACCACCACGTTGCAAATACGACGCACGCATGATGGGTTGGATATAGTTTGAAAGGAATGTCTACTGACAGCGCGACACTATGAGCTGGAGGTTGGGCAGGAGCAATACAAATGGTGGCGGTTGTGGTGGTGGGGGTGGTGGGGGTGGTGGTGGCGGTGGTGGTGGTGCTGCTGCTGCTGCTGGTGGCGGTGGCGGCGGTGCTGGCGGTGGCGGTGGCGGTGGTCTGGGTGTGGTAGTGGTAGTGGTAGTGGAAGTGGTAGTGGCAGTGGCAGTGGTGGTGGTAGTAGTAGTAGCAGTAGTAGTAGTAGTAGTAGTTGTAGTAGTACTGTGGATGGACAAAATCTTGCACCACTTTTCAGACACGTCTTTTTGTGTTCCCCGTGCCCCCTTTTTAACATTGGCTGTGAAAAGCTAGCGGCCGGATTTGCTCCAATGGCCGAAATCTTGCGCCGCTCAAGTAGTCCCAGCCACCAATGTTAAGCACGGGGTGCGGGGCTTGATGCCCCAATCGTTTGGAGTATGCATGTACAGGTGGTGCAAGATTTCGTCCATCCACCAAAGGGCAGAAGTGTTTTTGCATAAGCTGGTAGTGCGTACCCATCCTTTTCTACGGTGCTTGGACTCGGGACACGACACAGCATTCCATCTACACAACGCTAGAGTCAAGTCAATACTGCCAAAATGCGGAAAATCTAGCATTTTGCTGTTCCGGACATTAAGAAGCTAGAAAAAAATTGAATTCCTATAAAAGAAGCTAGAAAAAATTGAATTCCTATAAAAGCAACAAATGCAGTGCAAAATGACAGTCAACGCTCAGTCAACACTACAGTCAACACTACAGTCAACACTGCCAAAATGCTGGAAAATCCAGCATTTTGCTGTTCTGGACATTAAGAAGCTAAAAAACTTACGTTTTCCTTTAAAACGAGTGAACTGTGGAATCTGCTGGTTTTTCCAGGGTTTTCGTAGTGTTGACTGTAGTGTTGACTGTAGTTTTGACTGAGTGTTGACTGAGTGTTGACTGTCATTTTGCACGTATTTGAAGCACCTTGGGAGTGCAAAACGGCGTCCCAGCAAAGTTAAAGTCGTTGAAGCCAGAGAAACGACACAGAAAGCCATTGCTAGTCACTCACGCTCGTAGAACATACCAGGCAACATTCGCCGAAAGGGACCGAAGGGCAGAAGTGTTTTTGCATAAGCTGGTAGTGCGTACCCATCCTTTTCTACGGTGCCTGGACTCGGGACACGACACAGCATTCCATCTACACAACGCTAGAGTCAAGTCAATACTGCCAAAATGCGGAAAATCTAGCATTTTGCTGTTCCGGACATTAAGAAGCTAGAAAAAAATTGAATTCCTATAAAAGAAGCTAGAAAAAAATTGAATTCCTATAAAAGAAGCTAGAAAAAAATTGAATTCCTATAAAAGCAACAAATGCAGTGCAAAATGACAGTCGACACTCAGTCAACACTCAGTCAACACTACAGTCAACACTGCCAAAATGCTGGAAAATCCAGCATTTTGCTGTTGTGGACATTAAGAAGCTAAAAAAACTTACATTTTCCTTTAAAACGAGTGAATTGTGGAATCTGCTGGTTTTTCCAGGGTTTTCGTAGTGTTGACTGTAGTGTTGACTGTAGTGCTGACTGAGTGTTGACTGAGTGTTGACTGTCATTTTGCACGTATTTGAAGCACCTGGGAGTGCAAAACGGCGTCCCAGCAAAGTTAAAGTCGTTGAAGCCAGAGAAACGACACAGAAAGCCATTGCTAGTCACTCACGCTTGAAGAACCCGTGCCCCCTTTTTAACATTGGCTGTGAAAAGCTAGCGGCCGGATTTGCTCCAATGGCCGAAATCTTGCACCGCTCAAGTAGTCCCAGCCACCAATGTTAAGCAGGGGGTGCAGGGCTTGATGCCCCAATCGTTTGGAGTATGCATGTACAGGTGGTGCAAGATTTCGTCCATCCACCAAAGGGCAGAAGTGTTTTTGCATAAGCTGGTAGTGCGTACCCATCCTTTTCTACGGTGCCTGGACTCGGGACACGACACAGCATTCCAGCTACACAACGCTAGAGTCAAGTCAATACTGCCAAAATGCGGAAAATCTAGCATTTTGCTGTTCCGGACATTAAGAAGCTAGAAAAAAATTGAATTCCTATAAAAGAAGCTAGAAAAAATTGAATTCCTATAAAAGCAACAAATGCAGTGCAAAATGACAGTCAACACTCAGTCAACACTACAGTCAACACTACAGTCAACACTGCCAAAATGCTGGAAAATCCAGCATTTTGCTGTTCTGGACATTAAGAAGCTAAAAAACTTACGTTTTCCTTTAAAACGAGTGAATTGTGGAATCTGCTGGTTTTTCCAGGGTTTTCGTAGTGTTGACTGTAGTGTTGACTGTAGTTTGAGTGTTGACTGAGTGTTGACTGTCATTTTGCACGTATTTGAAGCACCTTGGGAGTGCAAAACGGCGTCCCAGCAAAGTTAAAGTCGTTGAAGCCAGAG